TATGAAAATGTTAAGGTACAGTTCGTTTGTAGTATCTTCTGAATTGAAGGGGCTATGTAATTTTGTGTTGACATCTCTTTTTTAACATTTTTAATTATTTTCTTTGCATACAAGAAAGCTGTTATGTACCAATTATTTATTTTCGTTGGATTATATATGGTTTTCGGAAGTTAACGCATTTAAGTTTCAGGTTCGCTTTTTCGGCGTAAAGTGTACATAAGGTGTCCCAAAAGCACCGGGACTTGTTCTGTAACTTCGAAAGTAAGATAGATACAGACATGATCTTGATTTCATTTTAAAGATCAACTCAATACCTATCGATTAAAACCAAGATCAGCTCAATCGGATAAAAATTGACCGAGTTATGGCAATTTGAAATCAGCGAGGAAAGTTTACGCCTACGGTTTTTAAGGAAGATTCTTCATCGCCGTAAATCGAAAAGTCGGCCGATAAAGTGATGCTTATTGTGTTTTTTTATTTTCGAGGTGTCATTTATCAACATTTTGTACCATCAAACACAACAGTTGACAGTGCGTATTATTGCAAAGTACTAAAGGAGTTGAGAATGCACATTTCCCGGAAACGGTCGGACTTGAAAGCTTCGTGGATACTCCATCAAGACAATGCGCGGCCTCACACATCGAGCTTAACACGTGAATTTATGAGTAAAAATGGAGTTGAAACAATCCCTCATCCCCCTTATAGCCCTGACTTGGCTCCATGTGATTTTTGGATGTTTCCTACGCTTAAAAAGGAGCTTCGCGGACGAAGATTCGTATCGAAGACCGAAATCCAGAATGCAATTCAAAACTTCTTCAACTCCATCCCAGAGGAAGAATTCAGGAAAACAATGTTGGATAAGTGGCAAGAGCGCATGAAAAAGTGCATCCGGTTTGATGGACGGTACTTTGAAAAGCAAAAGGAAGTTATGGAAGATTCGGAGGAAAGTGGATACGAATATTAACTTTTTGAATCCTGGTAAGCGAAAAATCTTCCTAAAAACCGTAGGGGTAAACTTTCCTCACTAATTTCAAATTGTCATAACTCGGTCAATTTTTATTCGATTGAGCTGATCTTGGTTTTAATCGATAGGTATTGAGTTGATCTTTAAAATGAGACCAAAATCATGTCTGTATCTATCTTACTTTTGAAGTTACAGAACCAGTCCCGGTACTTTTGGGACACCCTACGTATGATATTTTTACTCTACACATATGCCCGAATACGCATCATAAGGGACCTATGTGCTTCCTAAGTTGCCAAGTATTAATTATTGTTAGATGATTGGTCTAAAACATTCAATACAACCAGTAAAAATTAGCTGTCCCCTGCGAGTTTCGAACCCCCGCTCGCACAAAAAGTGCCATCTTCCCAGGGTCAGAATGGTGTCGTAGCTAACTGAGCCATCTCGCCGCTCAGAACAGACGGGAGAAAAGAGAACAGTTAAGTGATCTCGGACGCTGAGCGGGGCTTCACAAAAGACGACCTTGAGATTTCGGCAGTTCGGCCACTGGCGTCATAAGAGACAACGGATTAACCGCATTACTCTGTGAGACATTGTTTACCTATGCTGTCATATGTCACAAGGTTCATCTCAGCATGCATTTGCGATCGCGGCAGTAAGCTGAGGCAATATTTCTGTATTCATGGATTAAATCCATCAATCGAGTTCTGATTTTGGCTCATATATCCGTAACGGGTCCTCCAGAGCAATTTTCCACCTTGTACGATGGTTATTATTTCTTTATATCTATGTTTAAAATTTGAGGTGGGATAATGGCGGCTTCTCAAGAGCAACGAGGTAGGCGATCTTTTGCACCAACGAACAGAAAACTGATGGCGAAAAATAACCAATCAGAACCTCCCAAAAAAAAGAATTTGCCTAAAAACGGAACTTCGTGGTTCTGCGCAGATTTACCAGTCAGACACGACATCTCAAGGTGGAAAAAAACTCGCTGAAAGCGAATTTTAGCAATCAACACAACTTGACGTAGAGACATGATTGGCTAAAAAATACAACGGTTTTTGATACATCGGAAAATCAACCAAAAATCGGAGACTGGGCGAAACGCTCAAGGTCGCAGAGGTATAGGGAATCCCATTGCGAAAGCAACGGAACGATTGTAATATCATGGGGAACTCCGTTCCCATGACAATAATTTTGAAAAAATTGAAAATGGATAAGTTTAAGGGTCTCTCAAGCGTCAATTTGGCTCGACTTGGAACTTTGCGTTTAAAAAAAGTCTTGGGCATCTGAAGGTTAAGCAACGTTGCTTTTTGTGAATAAGCTTGGCGTAATTTTGTTGTTTTATCGATTGTAATTTTAGTGAGCCGTTGCAATAGTCTATACCTTTTATTATTGAAACAATGGAAATGCAATAAAAGTTACTAATTAACTTTTTTTTTTTTGGAAGAATTACATGAACATTTTAGATTTAGCAAATCAATCAATTTTCGCGCGTATTCTTTGAACAAAGCACGTACTTGTCATGTGATTCATTCTGGACCGATTTTTGAGTTTGTAATGTGACATCCTGTGATTCGTCTTCAGTTTGATTCGTATTTTGTCCTTAATCTCCTCTTCCTTCCTCATCTCCACTTCACGACGGTTCTCAATGCCGCTTTCCTGCGGTATTATGGTGGATTTTCCCGTTTGTTTCATAATTCATCCAAACAAATGATGCTTTAACGTTACTGCCTGTAGCAACATTATACCGAGACATTGTCAATTCCAGAAACAGATATTTTATCGTGCTAAAATAAAAACTTGCCGAGACACCTCCCATCCCGATCGAACTTTTTCTATAAACATGCTCGCTCGCATAAAATGACATCGAGCAAGATAAGGGTGCGCCGAGCGCCAGGAAACTATTTCATGTCAGAAGTGTGTGATAACAATCGTGAAAACTGGATTTAATGACATTTCAAAAGCTCTGAGTAACATATCTGTCTCAATCAATCTTTAATGAAACTGGGCAGATGTTTACCGTTCCATTTGAATATTCCAGAAACCTCGCGGTTTGCCTGGGACGGACAGATTGAGATTAAAACAAGCGCTTAGCTATAATTTCAGAAGATAGGCAACCGTATTTACTTTCAAAGAATCCGCAGTTGATTATTTCTACATGTTACTGATGATTAAAATTTGGAAAAAATGAAAAATTATACATGCTTTTATTTTATCTCTGTTTTATATGGAACATGCGACGCGACGCTTTCAGAGGATACAGTCAAGCACGGCACCGCATTTCGAAATTTCAATTTTGCCAGATTTTTATAACCGTGCAAGACCGGACGTATATTTTAATGAAGAGTTTTATGAGCGGAATGATGTGAATAAATTAATTTTTCTATAGGCGTCACACACATAGCTGGAGGTTCCAGCACACATACACAACGGTGAAATAAATTAATGAGCTTTTTTGTGCGCGCGATAAATTGAATAATTTTGGATGATCAGGATTCTCCACGGTGATTTGACATGCTGACGTGTCAATTTTATCATATAATATTTAAAACAACGTCACTACCGCAGTTCAATTTTTCATGCTTGCGTTATCTTGCGTATCGATTAGGAAACTCAATTTCCGTGTCAGAGGATGACCTATCCTCCTTTATCTTTTTGAGAGAAACTGAGTTTGTACTTTTCCATGACAATCAGATAATATGTTTTGAAAGCAAAGAAAATAAATAATGCAGAATTCTACGAAAAACAGGAAGTTGATTTTCACCTGATGAGACTATAATTGTTATTGAAAGTTTGCAACGTAGCAAAGCCAGGCATGCAGTTGTCTACGAAACCAATTTGCTAACTTCCTTGCATAGTATTGATACATGAATATTATATGATACGGTATGTGCATACGCCACACCGTGAGGTCATCGTGTCTAATTTTCAAATAACTCTGCAACATCGTGTCAACGCTCCAATGTCTCAGAGCTGCGCTCTTGCAGTGCGAGTGATACAAAGTTAAAACGCCTTCAATTCCACCGCATGCAATACGGACAGTTCTCAAGCACGAATAGTTGCATCCGCGCCTTATCGCCAACAACGCGCGTTGATCACTGGATGACAGCGGACTCCGCGCCTCTCAAAATGATAGGAGTCTAATTGACCCGATTGAAAATAAATGTAACCAATTCTTGAGTTCAACCAGTCAATTATTTTTTCCCGAAAGAAACTGATTGAAGTTGTCAAAACATATTCTGACTATGAAAGAAGTCATTGAGTTTCGTAGGCAGAGAATACTTTGGTCAAATTTTTCTCGATTCACAAATTCCGTCTAATTAATCTACCAGTTCGATGTCGCCCCATAATTTAGATCTTTTGTAATTCTCTTGTTCACTTTCCATAAGAGGATGATGCATCATAACAAGTATATGTTTGCATTATAATAGGAAATATTCGAGCTGGTAAAAAAATGAAAAATGGGGTCTTCTATCTAAGTTATCACCAATTAGGTTTTGTCGCGTTAGTTATATTTTCGTTGAATTATCGGAGGTCCATTTACCTATTTACCATCAATCAGATTTTTGCAAACGTCCTATCGTAGTCGGAAAAAAATTATCGCATTCTAAATAAAAGCCTTAACTCGTAAGATGTGTGTCCAAAGAACCTTTCATGACGTAACACTGACCTTACAAATGTGTTTATCTGTTTATTTCTGAAGCGCCAACGTTTGATGGCTAACGAACAATACCACCTATGTGCAAACAGACGATTTTTCAGAACGAAGAGAAGACTTCGTCATTTTTGTAATTTTAAAGTTAGATTTGCAATTAATTCATACATTACAGCGTCATTGAAGCGCTCCCTTACAGGATTGGAAAAAAACTAAAATCATCAGCTTACGTTTTTTATATTGTAAAATGTGGCAAAGTCACTAACTCATTTTTGCCAAAATTGTCAGTCAGGCGGTATTGTACGTTAGCCATTGACAAAATATTTTTTCTCCTTGAAAAAGATTGCGTGCTCTATTGTGGAATTCGTCTTGTTTCAGATGAATGCTGTGAACATCGAGGAATACCTCACGCCCGTTGGATCGGAATTGAGAAGCTGTAACTGGCGTTCAGATGTGCTTGTTTCGGTGGATCTCCGGTTGCAGACGCCTCACTCGTCCCAGCGTCAGGATATCGGAGCAGGTGCCGATAGAAAATGATTCGTCTAATCCCCGGTGAAACATCTGGATTCGGCGCCCTCCGAAATGTCGACACTAAACTCCGCATCAAATTCCGCTCCGTCTATCCAGTGACTTGAAACTTTTCGACAAAAATGTGATGAAGGTCTTTTCTCTTTTCGCGAAACTGCATTGTGATATGTAGCAAACTAATGGATTGGAAACGAATTCTTAACGGTCTAACTTTTTTTCTAAATATCTTTCCACGGCTTTTAAATTCGTAATCTCGGTGTTTATTTTTATTTTATGCAAAGTTAACGAATATCTAAAATCGTGCCCACCTTTTTGGAATTCTCTCCAGAGATAAATCGTTCCACTTATTTTTCACCGTGGCATCGTTGTTTTCATCGAGAAAATATGCATACTGAAATTATTGGAGTCGTTTAAAATTATGAAACATAACAAAAATACCAGCCTTCTTTAAGGGCAGTTTAACTTTTTTGGACAGAACCTTTATTTTTACTACTTTAAAATTTTCGACTGTGATAAAAAAAAATCCATAGAGAACATCGATAAAGTCTAAGAGCATTTTTAAATTAATAAGAGAAAAAAAATCTCTCATGGAAATTCGAATTTTTTTGGATGTTCAAAGTACAATAAATATTAAACCACAGTGGAATTTTACCCGGACCAAATTAAAATTATCATCCTAGCCTAGCGTAAGGTAATTATTGGCGAACCGTGACGTGACGTAACGCAACGCTATTAAAGTAAAATAACGTCGGTGCCGTGAAATAAAACTGGGAACGTGAGATAGCACTTGACAATGAGAATATTCTAACCTAACGCAAAGTAACTTCAGCCGAAACGTGTCGAAAACGCCAGTAACGTGAGATGAATTCATTAACATAGCACAACGCCGTTAACGTAAGATATCGCAGGTAACGTAACGTGACGTGAGACAACGTCCGCGGCTTTACGTAACGACGGTAACGTAGAATAACGTTCATAACGTAACGTGACGTGAGACAACGTCCGCGGCTTTACGTAACGACGGTAACGTAGAATAACGTTCATAACGTAATGTGACGTGAGACAACGTCCGCGGCTTTACGTAACGACGGTAACGTAGAATAACGTTGATAACGGAATGTCACGCACGATGAGGATTCGGTAAGGCGACAATGTCCGCAACGACCGGGACGTTTTCGACGATGGCGTACGAGCTGGTGAACATCTCGATGGAGTGGGAGAACGGGTCGTGGGCGTGGAACGGGACCCTGGACTACCTGAACGTGACGCGGGAACTACCGATCCGTTACGCACAGCCGATGTACGGCTACATGATGCCGTTCCTCCTGCTCATCACGATCGTGGCGAACACGCTGATCGTGGTGGTGCTCTCGAAGCGGCACATGCGGACGCCGACGAACGCGGTGCTCATGGCGATGGCCCTCTCGGACATGTTCACCCTCCTCTTCCCGGCCCCGTGGCTCTTCTACATGTACACCTTCGGGAACCACTACAAGCCCCTCTCCCCCGTCGGCGCCTGCTACGCCTACACCATCATGAACGAGGTCATCCCCACCCTCTTTCACACCGCCTCCATCTGGCTCACCCTCGCACTCGCCGTTCAAAGGTACGTCCTCTGGTTCACTTTCTTTTTCTAGAGTACCTTTATAGACAGAGTATGGCCATTCGTATCTTTTTACTACAGGAAAACTGTTCCGCTTTTTGATTGGTCAACGAGTTTTTAGGCTTCATGATGCTCTTACGGCCGTAAATAAACAAACAAGATGGCGGCTCACCGTAACATCGATAAGAAGCTAAATTTGACAAAAATTTCAATTATACAGCAGTAACGATTTAAACTGGCATATCTACGAATAACACACGAAAACATTGTTAAATCGCCTTTCACCTTTATCACAGGAGGATGTAAGATGTGCATAACCTCAATCTTGCTTGCTGATAACAGCCATCTTGTTTGTTTATTTACGGCCGTAAGAACATCGTGTCAGCCTATTTTCACGCGACCAGTGAAAAACCGGAACAGAAATGGCCATACTCTGTCTATAAAGGTACTCTATCTTTCTCTCTTATCCTTAGCTGCTTTTTTAGGTAGGGTGTCCCCAAGTTAAACGAAAAGACATTTTAATGCCAATTTGGCTGGCTTTCATGGAACATGGTAAAATGATCGAAAATGAATGATTGATTGTTTCGTTTTGTTTCCTGTAAGTTTTTTATTATTTATCATATCTGTGTAGTTTGAAATATTATGTGTTTAATTTATTTTTGGCCTGTAGCTCGATTATTTTTTCAATAATTTTACTTTGTTAAACGTAAATATGGCTCAAAGGGTGACAACATAGTAAGAAAAAATGACCAAAATTTGCGTCGATATGAGGCTGTTCAAGTATTACGTAACGCACTTACGAGGGAGGGGTAGGGGTTTGAGCCAGCGTTACGGTGAGTTACAAGGGGGGTTGGAGGGGGGTCAAGCCCAGCGTTACGTAAAAAATCGGAGCTGGGGGAAAGAAAAACTTCGAAAAAAATTGCAAAAAATTGAAAATCATGTTGAAGGGAACAAAATTTTGTGTTAGAAAATCTTCGACCTTGATAAAATTAGGCGTCAGCCGTCAGGATTAAACCCAGATCGCATCGGATATGAACCAATCTATGGAACTCAGTTTCATCGATTGGTATATGGAAAAGTGAATCTTAAAAAAAACTTGAATGGGTCCCATTCTTAGGTGTTGATGCAAGTTTACTCAGATTACAAACAAAATGCAAAATTTAGATCAATAATCGTGCCCGGTTTTCAAATTGAAGGTAGTCTGAGTCAAATCAGCATTTTGCGCTTACGTTGTGAATACGAAAGCCGCCTCCGTGAAGATCATCAATTCAAGGAAATCCAAGAATGAAAGAGGGTGCCTTATTTGTTTGTTCGACGGCCCGTTTTTTGAAGGGATTGAAAAGAAAGCTGCCGTGTTGAGAAAAACATCGTATGGGCCTTCGATCGCTGCCAAATTTCTCATCATGAATCATGAATTTTCTGAAGGGATTGTGAATATTTTTCCTTGATGTTTCAGAGCGAATCATTCGCATTTTAATGAAGATTACCATTATCACAGAATCATAGGAAATTATGTATTACTTTTCTCTATAATCCATTTTTTTAGTGGGAACATTGACGGTAGTGATGAGGTATGAATGATCGATTATCGATATTTCCCCATTTGAGGCAATGGTAAAGAATCGGTTATTAAGTTGTCAGGTGTTAGCTGCGAACATCCTGTTTCTCGATAATTTTCCATCACTGAAAAAATAATATGCTGTTTCAGCACCTAGGATGTCAAAAATGTGCCTGGTGATCCCAAAATGCTGCCTTTACTGCCCTCGCAGTTAACTTTACATCCCATGAATGAAAATCCAACTACGTGGGCAATCAAAGTAGCATATTAGGATCACCAGACACGTTTTTGACATCCTAGGTGCGAAAACAGCATGCCATTTTTTCTCAGTGATACTGCTGTAAATGGAAGATCAATCAATAAATCGCAACTTACGCATTTGGATGAAAATTTGGCAAAGTTCAAATTCTGATATGACGTTGTTCCTCCGGGCGGCAGCCCAGGTGAAAATTCGGGGCCTTTCATTTTCCGGCGGAGGTTTCATAAGAAGTATCTTCCAGCCTAATATTACTTCCGAGGCACGTGTGACAGATGACACAGTCACACAGTCACACCTGCGCGTCATTCTGATAGATTCATCCCGGCATAAACCCTCCCCGACCCCCGCCCACTCTTGGTCCTCTTTGCATTTTGTTCCTGCTTTTCGGTGGATTAACCTCGAACCTTCGCACGGGCGGCATAAATGCCAGGCAGCTTTGAAAAAAACACCAAGCCCGAGCGATCCAGCTGCGATGGAGCGTTTGAATTTTTTTTATCAAACGTGGCAAATTCTCAAGATCGAGAGCCATGAAGGGAGCTCTGCCACGGGAAATCTCTCAATCGGTCACCGGGTAAGGGAGAAAGTTCCAATTACTTTCTAACTCTCTTGAATATGCGCGACAGAATTTTTTATCCTACGTCCAGTTGCTTTTTGGTTGGAACTCGTGCGCCCGTACGAAACCAGTAGCAATTGCGTATTCAAAATTGAATAATCTTTAGAGTTTGACTATTTTAAGTTCATTAAAAGGACTTCTAGACAAAATAAGGCTCAAAGTTTCACAAGGCATGTTGATTAATGAACATGTTCAGAGAAATATTTTGGAGAAACCGAAAATTTCGAAAATCAACCCGTTTATGAACAAGTTTTTTGAAGAAGAGCCAACAGCCAAGTTTCGAAAAACACTTAAAAACTTGATCATTTCAACAGTTCTTCGTATATTTCTCTTCAAAAAAAAAACTAACCAATGCTCCACGTAACATCTGTGGTGAGACTATAGTTACGCTAGAAAGGTCGGAGAAATTGGGCAAGAAGTACAGATTTTAAAATTTTAGGGGATATGCCCATCTACCACAAATCCGTTCAGTACGCTGTCATTTTCAGCAGCATTGTCGTGACAGTCACATATCATGCGTGTTCGATGACAAAGTTATGACTTATACTTTGTGCCCTTACTCATAATTTATATTATTAGGAAGCTCTCTGCACTGGAAAAGGTGGCCTTTTTTCCAAAGATGTGTTTAATAAAACCGTTTCAAGAGCAATTTTGGTATAATCGCTCACTAATCAGATGCTGCTTTAGTCTAGTGAGTAAATGCTTTATTCTAGTGTTTGTAGCCCTTAGCCCGTTATGCAAGTCGTTCTTGGTTCTTAGAATGAAATATCATGTCCAACGTGATGCTCAATTTTTTGACATCTAGCCTGTTATTGATGATCAGTCTTCATACGATCCACAACGCCCCTCAAACACAGCGAAAATATAGACAAGTGAGCCGAACTGACGTTAATTAATTAGGGACGCGTTGAATCGGAAATAAAGATAGGTTTATTTCGGGGCTAGTGTAGCGGGGATCTCTTGAAACGTCGGAAGCCTAATGGGGAACTGGTTGATGTGCAGGAAGTGTAATGGCATCAGATTCGACTTTCACTGGTAATGGCCGCAAGAGGGGGAGTACTAGCTGAAATATGAGGGTCTTGGTGGAATTTCAAATATTGTTGTCGCAACCGGGCTTGAATTATTCTCATGGGCGGCATCAAAGGGGCGTGACTAATGTTATACAAATCTTTCCTCTTTCCTATCTGCTCTGAAACCCAATGCACAATAGCCAAATCGGCCTCGGATCCTTGAATATTCTTCTTCGTTGTTTTCATCCATCCAAAAAGTGACATTTTCGCGCCGATCTCCGCAAAGATGTCGCGCACTAAAGAGATTACCGCTAAGTATTTAATACGGTATGGTGTGTGCATCTTTCAAGAAAATCAAATGAGGGAATTTTCATTGAAGTCTTTGAAAGAAAAGAGTGGTAACATCAACCAGAAGTCTACTTGATTTTTTACACAGTGATATTATTTCCTGGAAAAAATCAGAATGATGGCAGTATATACCTAAACTCAGATGATGATCTTACCGTACTGTGGTAAAAGCTAATAAAGAGTCTGGTTTATATTACCTTACTCGGATCACTGTGTCGGAGTATGGTCAAATCTACCGTGTTTTTTTTTAGTGTGGAGGTGTGTCAGTAAATCTCCATCTTTTTCAAATTCTCAAGTTGACTTTTCTCTTTACAACAACAATACGCATACGCATTGAAGTTACATGTTTTGTTATCACAAACGGCAAAGCTAGATTGCGCTTCGAACCTCTTAATATTAATTTATGGATGCAACGACTCGTTCTTAAAGGATTCGCGTCTTGCGTGCTCCATAAACTGCATGGGCCATGGGGTTCTGGTTTTCTATAATCAAAACGCTTGGCTGCAGCTATCCATGTTCATGGGATGCCTGTTTTAACTGTGGAGTTTCGTTGATCATGATAAACCTCAAAATACGGTTGAACCATTTGGGGTCACATCTTTGCAGCTCCGCTCCTATCATATTTAGCAGTTAATTTCTAGACCCACCGATTCATTTTCCTCTTGAAATGGAGAGAAAACATGTTGAACAATTTTTTAATCCATAAGCCTTGTCTAGACGCCCATAATTTCAGCCCCTTGAATAATTCTGTAACTAAAATGAGATATTGATTGAAAATTCTGTGTTGTTACTGGAACCGAAGTAATTGCAGCCACAAAATAAATAATTTAACTAATATTAAAGATTCAGGATGTACCAGAAAAATAGTGATTAGGATCGTAAGATTCACGATTCATTTTTCTCCTTTTGAGCGGATTTTTCTCCGTAAGGATATTGTGACATTGAGGCTAAACGTGATGTCAGATGTGTTTTTGGATCTACTCACCGACGGGGGAACTTGAAGTTTGTGAGCCTTAGAACTGCGAAAACGGAGCAAAAGGGAGGGATTAGCCCTCGAGGGTCCACTTATCCGAGCTCTCAAGTTCACTCCAATAATGCCGTGCTAAGGAAGAATGCCGTATGAGCCTTCAGACATTGCCAAGTTTCCTTCGATAAAAACGGAATTTACTGGGAAAATTGTGAAAACATTTTCCAAAGTTTTCAAGCAATCTTGTG